CAAAAAAAAAAAAAAAAAAAAAACCTCAGGTCTATCCCCACAAAGATCTGCAGGGGGAAAAAAAATCAGGTCTAAAAGCAATACCTACAGATTTCAGGGTATTTTGTCAGCAATAATAATTTACCCTCCTAGCACTAAGAATGAAAGTCCCATCATTTGTGGCAGAGATCAGAACTCAGGTGTTCTGCCTTCCTATATATTACAACTACTAGAACTATGCCTTTGTGTCAGGAGACTTGGAAGAATTTCACATTAACACATTTGTGATCGGCAAAATTTTCACTTTCCTAATACTGACTGCAGGTGAAAATAAAACAAAAAAAATCTGAAGTTGGTTGCCGCAAACTTCTGTTGTTAAGCACAAGTGAAATGGTCTTTACTGAATTGTCACCTTTTCACAGTACAGCTGAAAGTTGCAGACATATCCAGTATTTGCCAGAGACATATCCAGATACCACTCTGACTAGCATTCCATACTTTTATTATTATTCAGATTATAAACTGAATATATATCATTCAGAAACAGAACTGGGGGCCGGGCTTGGTGGCTCAGCCTGTAATCCCAATGCTTTGGGAGGCCGAGGTGAGTGGATTGCTTGGGCCCGCGGGTTCGAGACCTGCCTGGGCAACTTGGCGAGACCTCATCTCTACAATAAATCAAAAATTAGCTGGGCGTGGCAGCGCACGCCTGTAGTTCCAGCTACTTGGAAGGCTGAGGCGGAAGGATCGCACAGCAGGTCGAGGCTGTGGTGGCTGGGAGAGGCCACTGCACTCCAGTCTGGGCGACAGAGTGAGACTCCAACTCAAAAAAAAAAAGAAAAGAAAGGAAACAGAACTGGGAATGATGTAAATTCATGTCAGTGGCAACCAGGAGCAGAATTTGGAATGATGTAATTTCACATGAGCAATCCTGAAAGAGTTAACAAGGAGAGCATATATATAATCATTCAACTAGTAATAGTCAGTGATAAGGAAATGAAATCAGAAGTCAATTAAAATAATAAACACAAGGCATTCCCCTTAAGTGACTCCCTTATCAAATGATCCTAGGGCCGGGCTCAGTGGCTCAGCCTGTAATCCCGCGCCTTTGGGAGGCTGAGGTGAGTGAATTGCCTGAGTCCGCGGGTTTGAGACCTGCCTGGGCAGCGAGACTTCATCTCTACAATAAATAAAAAAATCAGCCGGGTGTGGTAGCGCATGCCTGTAATTCCGGCTACTTGGAAGGCTAAGGTGGAAGGATCGTCGGATCCCAGCAGGTTGAGGCTGCGGTGGCTGGGAGCGGCCATTGCACTCCAGTCTGGGTGACAGAGTGAGACTCCAACTTAAAAAAAAAAAATGATCCTAGGGAGTACTAACAAAAACAAAACTGGGGTACAATGTCCTAATACAAGAGCACAATGTTTCTATAAAGTTTAATTGTCCTGATTCACTATGTCTGGCAGACGAAATGACTCACACAGAGGCACAACCTCTTAGAAATCTAAGACAGGGCAGGGCGCTATGGCTCATGCCTGTAATCCCAGCACTTTGGGAGGTGGAGGCGCGAGGATTACCCTGAGCTCAGGAATTCCAGACCAGCCTGGCCAACATGGCGAGATCTCATCTCTACAAAAAATTTAAAAAATTAACCAGGCATGTGGTGTGTGCCTGTAGTTCCAGTTACTTGGAAGGCTAACGGAAAAGGAGCCCCTGAGCCTAAAAGGTCAAGACTGCAGTGGCCATGTGCGTGCCACTACTGCACTCCAGCCTGAGTGACAGAGTAAGATCTTAACTGGGAAAAAAAAAAAAAAAAAGGAAAGAAACTGATGCAGTGAATAATGAAAAATGATATCTAAGGCTCACTGAACACCTACTATGTAGCAAGCACTGTGTTAGACCCTTTTAAAATATTATCTGTTGAACACCTAAAGAAGGGAGTGAGGGGGATAAGGATTAAAAAAAAAGCCACGCCTTGGGAGGCTGAGGTGAGTGAACTGCCTGAGCCCATGGGTTCGAGACCCACCTGGGCAACTTGGTGAGACGTCATCTCTACAATAAATCAAAAAACTAGCTGGGTGTGGTAGCGCCCGCCTGTAGTTCCAGCTACTTGGAAGGCTGAGGCGGAAGGATCGCCTGAGGCCAGCAGGTTGAGGCTGCACTAGCCATGAGCGTGCCACCGCACTCCAGCCTGGGCCTTGAGTGTGCCACTGCACTCTAGCCTGGCCGACTGAAAAAAAAAAAAAAAAAAAGTATTAAAACAATGGTGTAACACTGTAAAAGAGAATAATATAAACATCTAAGATGAATGCTGAAACACAGATATGCTAAACGATATTTGGTAAATTATCTCTAAGAAAAGGTATGAGCCTTAAATGGGGGAGATATACAGGGTAGGTTAGTTAATGTAGACCTTTTGTGAAATGCTTTACTGTCACTAACTGTTTATAATCCAAACACCACTGGAAACCAGACACTCAGGAGGGGATTAGGATCAGAATTGCTAAACAGATTACAATTGCTTATATGATCAATCATCCACAAGACATTCTGGCAGATCTTACCCAAAGCTGCTTAGCAGGACTAGGCCAAGAGCTGAAAAACTAAGAACTCAGGCTGAATTGTTTTCAGGAACAGGTATATTTAGAGGATAATTTAGGCAATGCACTCTGAAGGGACAGAGGAGAATGAGAACAGGAAGGGATGATACCCTGGGGGAAAACATGCTAAAAAAAAAAAAAAAAGGGGGATTATAGGTTTGACAAATGTAGAACTATTCCTCACATGCAATCAGCCATCTATTCTTTTTTTTTTTTTAACATCTTAATGTTCCTTATAATCCTGCCAACGTTTCCCTAATTACCCCATTGTCCACACATTCTCCAGAGACCAGTGTTTTCCAAATTTGTATATTCACATGAATCATTTAGGGCACATGT